GTTCAAGACATGGTTTCAGTCTTGTTTTCTACCAAGTCACTAAGACATGAAAGTGTTGTTTATAAGAAATAGCAATTCAAACTGGCTGACCTGAGCTCTTATATTCACCACATTTCGGTGACTGTGTCAGAAAACATAGTAAGCTGTCTACCTAGAGAGCAAGTTTAGGGATTAAATAAGTGTTTGAACTCATTCGTGATGTCAAAATAGCACTGTCTAGATAGGCAGCACACTAGATTTTGCAACACAGCCTGAGAGTCATGGAGTATTTCCGCCGATCCTGACGGATCCATCTAAACCGGAGAGCAGCTCCACACTTCACCGACAATGATAAGCAAGTTGGCAGTGACTCAAAGCAATAAACATGCACAATGAAGACCTGAATGGGCTCATACCTGAGTGCAGGGTGAAAACATTGATTCCTGGATCCAGCATGATGTTCGCTGCAGCGACAGCAGCCGCAGTTCTGCCCTGTGGAGTACCGGTGATGTTGCTGCCGCCGCCGTCTCGGAGTCTCCTCCCGGAGCTGCTGGCCCGGTTCGATCTGCCCTGCTGCTGTTGCCCCTGCGGTGGGGTCTGGATCCCCGCGGAAGCCCCTTCTCCCACGCGGCCTACCTGTTGTCCCATCCTGCGAGTGTTCTGGGTGGGAAAATAACACAGATCCGTGGAAAGACCCGCGTCCGTTTGGACCGCTCACATCCCCCAAAGAACGACCCGCGGGACGACGGCCTGTTCTGTTCGGGATGATAGTCTTCCCCTTCTTGGTCACCCCTTCTCTTCCTCCTCTACCGGACCGGACCGAGCTCCGTTAGCTTAGCTTAGCAATCTGTGTAACGTTATGTGTGTGTGTGTGTGTGTGTGTGTGTGTATGAGAGAGAGCGAGAGAACCCACCCACCACCACCTAACAGCTAACAACGCACAGTCTAATCGTTAAATTCTACCAAACGGCACCGGATAAGCGGCTCTGTTAAACGGGTATGTACTATCCTCCTGCCCCTAGCGCTGTTTCTCTTAAAGCGGACCCGTCTGGGGTCGTTCCGTTCTACTCCAGCCGCTGCGCGCCCCCTCCGCCGCCGCCATCTTTACCGCAGAATCAGTGGCGTGCGCTGCACGAGCCAATGACGGAAAGCGCAGCACACCATCATCGCGGTGATGCGAAAGATCCTCTCTTTTTAATACATGAATATTAACATAAGCAAAATTAAGAGAATTGTTCATTCATTATGTACAGTGAATAATATCTTAAGGTCAATAACTGAGTAATGTAAACAGTACAATAATAAAAACAAAAAGGTGTTATTGAAGTGTGTTAATAAAGCAATATAAAGCATAGAATGCTACCTCACTTATATCAATATCATATTCAGTAATATGTTTTGATAGCAGGGTTATTTTAGTTAACTAAAACTAAAACCACTGACATTTTTTTTACTTAAAATAAACAAACTGATATAAATTAAATTGTAATAGCCTATATATA